ATTCATATTTAACAAGAATAGCATTTCGTCTAGTTTTAGAACATAAACATTAAAAAAATGATTTTGATTTTTGTCAACATTTTCATACAATAGAAAAACAATATTTGTATTTTTTCTCATTTGAATATGTTTATTTTTAATAGATAAACGATTCAAAATTACAAATAAAGAGATAAAAATATTTAATGATTCTCGAATAAGTTTATGCCACGTCAGCCTAATAAATTTATTTCTCACCAGCTTCCGCATTTCTATTTGGAAATTCATCATTTGGCATAGTTTTTCTATAGTACTTGGTGATCAAAATTGACATCACGTGTGTGTTATATATATTTCTTGACTTTGGTTTATTAATTTTCTTCTATTTAACTCTCGAAAAAACCCAAGTCAATTTCAATTAGTTTATCAAGTAAATTGATTTCTCCTCGTTTCAAATAATCTAGCATCAATTATATATTTGTTTGAACTTGGCGTGGAGGAATTAAAGGGGGAAAATATTTTTTATTACAGAGCTCAAATTAAGGATTTAACTGTGGGAAAAAAATATAATTCATTATGCATGATAATATTGCAGTGTATGTTATTTCGAATTTAAATTATAAAAAGAATTTGTGCTCAACTATTAATAATAGTAAAATGCAGTGATATTAAGTATATAATATAAATATACGATGATGTGATTTAATTTTCACAAAAAAAAAAGATCAACCAAGTGGAAGAGTTAATTATAAATAGCCCCTCTATTTTTATAAAAATAATTTAATTAATCATCTTTATTTTAAAAACTAATTATTCGATTCCTTTATTATTGTTGGACATACTTAATTTAATATTATTTTATTTTAAAAAATCTTATTTTTTCATAAAAGTTTCAACATTGTATTTTTTTTTCTTGTACCAACATCTAAAAAAAATAACACAATAAATTGATAAAATAAATAAAAATAATTAAATAATTATTTTTTAAAACAAAATGAACTGATTAATTTATTTCTCAAAACTAAAACTAGAACGATTAATTTATAATTTACTCTGAATGGAAAACGATTGGAATCTCAACGGCGTAGTTACGGTCAAAAGATCCTGTTTACGTCGAAAGAAGTTATTGCGGTAGCCAAAAGAGCAAAAGAGAAAAGAAAATCAACTAGATAGGCACCACACAAAATATTTTACTCCGTCATGATAAGGATCAGTCAATTCAATTCAACAAGTTGGTCGAGACCAAAATGGTGGTAGTTGCTTATCACTCTTTTCTTTTTGAACCATCATTTTTTTTTGTTTTCTTGCATTGAAAAAACCTAGTAGATTGTTGGCATATCTAAAAAAATCGTGGAGGTCTATTTGAATAAATCAATAAGAGTATCTCATTTCTCAAACATTGATGCTCTAAATTAATATAATATAACGTTCTCCAACAAGTTTGATTGGCCACATGACAACAACACATATATATTTTTATATGGAATAAATTATAAATTAGTCATTTTTATTTTAAAAAATAAATAAATTAATTTTTTTGGTTTCATAAACTAATTATTTAGTATTTTTAACTAATTTGATATTTTTTATTAATATTTTCATATTTTTTAGTTATTTTTAATTTTTATTTATTAAAAAAAATTGAAAAATATAAAAAATTAAATGATTAGTTTTTGAAACAAAAATAATTAATTTATTTATTTTTTGAAGTAAGAGAGAGAGTAATTCATAATTTACTCTTTTCATACGTGGGTGCCAATAAACCTCGTAATTTCAGTCAAAAGGCAGCTTACATGGAAGTGATATTTTATTCAACTAGGCATTGATATTTAAAGGTAACAAAGCATCTAAATTTGTTACGATTTGCAGATTCTTAATTTGGGCGGCAACTCGACAAGCCCAGAAAATTGAGTTCTTTGAAACTAGACGCAAGTCTTTATATGGTCATGATGCTCATTCCTATCCTCACAGAAAAGTCTCCTTTCATTTTTTATTCGATATTTAATCAAAATATCTTAAATTGCTTGACTTAGCTATTCTTTCCTTTGCGTTGTCCTTGTCTTCCAAATCTTTCACATTCTAGCCCAGGTGTTACCTAAAAGTAAGGAGTACGCAGACACCACGATCGTTTAGTGTCCCTTCGATAATTTTTACTCATGTATAGTACATATCAAACTTTTCTCTGAAAAAGAAATGAAAATCAAACTCATAAAGGTAATGCTAATTGTATCAAACACTTTCTCAAAAAATTGCTTTTTGAAAAATTTTATGCATTGAATTGAATCAGATTGATTTTTCTTGGAAAGGTTCTTTCAACGAGCTTAGCGTCAAAGAAATACTAATTTTACTAAGAGTGTTTTTTTAACATGTGTGGAAACCAATAAGAAAAAGAAAAATAAAAATATAAGAATAATCATATATCACAAAGATTTTACTTAATTCAATAACGATACCTATTATATAATTATATTAGGATTTTTATTAAATTTTATCAAGTGATGATTATAAATACAAATAATGTTGTTTTTATTTATGTCGTGAACTGACTTAAGATTATAAGAAAAAAAACTTGATGCACTTATATAATCGATCCAATATTTTGTAGGCTTTTTGTGTTGGTTATGCACAGTACGATATACTACGAGTTTCATTTACGTCAATCTCTATAATTTAAAAACACGTACTCTAAATGAACAGATTAATTATATAAATGGTTTTAAAAACACATCAATAACATGTGATTAAATAAATCAAAATATAAAAAATCAGTATTATAATTTATAAAAACAGTAACACACTAATCAAGTAAGTAAAATAAGGTGTAAATAACAAAAGGTGCGGGAGGAAGAATAAATAGTGCTACCAATGCAAAAATTTGATCATACACAGATGATTCGTCAAAATTCAAACGAGTAAAACTTTAAGGTGTTATTTTGTGTTAGAGTGAAACAGTTTTAGAAGAGAGTTCAAACAAAGTTAATTTCAGTCCTTTTTTTCTTTCTTTTAACATGGTAATAAATCGTTCATAAGAACACCAACTGATTTCAATGCAATTAAGATCGTCAATCGATGGAATGACAAAATGCATATTTCCAATCAGTTGACGCTAACGACTGAAAACATGCTTCATGAAATCACCATTGTCCACCTATCAGGTTACGTGGGTCGCCTAACCAATGATCTATTTACACGTTGCAACTCCGGCGAACCTGATATTTTCTATACCCCAGCTCTAGCTACCACGTGGTTGCGGAGCCACTATGATACCACTCAGTGTACGACACGTGTTTTGACGGCAAAACAATATTTCCGCGCCACATTATTCCCTCCCTAGCAAATTTATTTACGGCGTCCACCTCGATTTATAACTTGTAACCCGTACACAGTAATTTTGTCAGCCTAGATAAAAATAGATCGATTTCTTTCTTTGCTTTTTTCGATTCTAAAAATATTTTTGTATCAATTTATATCTTATTCGAGATTAATTTTTTTAAAAAAATGATTTTAAGAATTCAAAATATATTTTAATTTTTTTTCTCTAACCAGCTTACAAAAATTGCTAAAAAAAAAAAAGAATTAATACATATATACCAATATGTTTTTCAATAGTAAATACTTTCTATCTTCTTTTTTTAACCAATAATGAAGGGACTTTTCCTTTATTCTTCAAGAATAATGGTTTTTTTTTTAACTATTACTCAACTCTTTAAGGTTTTTATTTATAAAACTAAAATACGTAATAAATATATAAATTGTATTAATTTTCATTTAATTATTGAATGACAAGTCGAGTTTAACAAACCTATTAAGTGAACCACGTGTTGTATAAAGCATAGATTTGAATTTTACAATTTTTTTTTTATCTAAGATTAAATTTATATAATTTGTAGTAGCTGATATTGCACTCAACATTAATAACAATTTTTTTCACCCTAAATAGAAGATGTGGACTTAATATATACGCACTGATTCATGATATATATAACATTGAATGTCAAAAATACACCAATTTATTGTAAATGTTATTTTTTTCAGGAAATGTAAATATTATTTAGTTATTTATAAAAAAGAAATTTAATTTTTAATCTGCGAATTTGTGAAAATACTTTTATATTAAAATCAAAAAGAAAGAATTAGAAGTATTGTTTATCTATGATTAAACTATTTTTATTATTTCAATTTATTGGACGTCTGCTAAAGATAACGTTCCAATTTTTTTTTACAAAAAAATTAAAAAATTGTTTTATAAAGAAAATAGAGGATTACAATTTCTATTTTTCTGATTTTGGTCTCGACGCTTCGAGGCAGCGCCTAACCGAGTAGGCAACCCTACTTCTCAGCGCTGACTCGGTAGTGGTCATATCCACACGTGCGAAACATGTGACGATACAAGACAGCCGCCCTTTTTGAGCAATAATACTCTATCTGACGTCTCACCGTTTCGCACACCGCCACACAAAATCTGCAACAAAACCACACCACAACCATCAACCACGTGTCAATCACATGTTAAGAACCAACAGTTATACACCACCTCCACGCGCACTTTAGCACCCATCAGTTAGAACTTAAAAGATCCCCACACAAGCGACGCACGTCTTTAACCACCGGCAATTACCAGTCATTCACAGCACTCTCAGACTCTTGACCAATGAAGTTAAACAGAAAACCAACCATATTTCCCTTAACAACCGGTTATGTAAGGTAATTAAAGCGAAAATTCGCGCCCCTTTTTTACCGTCCTTCTCCATATAAAAAGGCAAGCGCTAGCTAAACTTTTTGGCCCATAACTTCCACATCTGCTAAGTTGCTTCTCAATCGTGCGTTGGTTTTTCCTTTTATTTACTGTTATACCTTACAGGTTATGATAGTGAACGGTTACCGGAAACCTGAGAGCCAACGCTCCTTTACCGCTCTCGGTTTCCCTCGCCTCCGTTTCTTCCGTTACCGTCGTTTGAGGTAACCCGTGAGCAAGGGATTTTATTATTTTGTCTAGCATTTTTTTTACTGTTATTACAATTATGCCTACAACACCAACAAAGGGCAACCGGAGAGGAGGAGGACAGGAACCAGAGAGAAACAGGAAAAACAGGTTAACAGAGAAAGCGTCGTCGTTTCATGGGAAAATACCGGCGGAAATTCCGGAGGCGAGGATTCGGCGGCCGAAGACACTCCCAGACTTGCTCGCCGGAAGAAGCTTTCCGGCTACAGTAGCGGAGGTGAGACCGAAGTTAACGAAGGTTTTAATCAACGTGACTATCCAAGGAAGCGTTGGTGCGGTCCAGGTTTTGATGTCTCTTCAATCCACAGTAGGCGAACTCATCGCCGCCTCCATCCAGCAGTACTCGAAGGAAGGCCGCCGTCCGATTAGCACCAATGACTCCTCCAGATTCGACCTCCATTACTCGCAGTTTAGTTTAGAAAGTAAGATTCATGACCTTCTTATGACGCTTTAGTTTTTATAGATGGACACGTGTAGGGTGGAGATTGATGGAAAATTTTGGACTTTTTTGACAGGTTTGGATAGGGAGGAGGAACTAATGGCGTTGGGTTCAAGAAACTTTTTTCTGTGCCCCAAAAAATCGGGGATGGACGGCGCGAGTTGTAGTGGTAGTGGAGGATTGACCACGACGTCGTCTCCATCATGTTCGAAAGAGGTTGAAAAGGAGGTTGCTAAAAGTGGATTTCTTCCTTGGCTAAAATTCATGGATTTCTTGCTGTGATTAATTAACTAGCTAATGCTGCTGGTTAATTAATAGTCAGAATTGTTATTATAATTCTTAATCCTTTTTTAACTTAAATTCTGTGTGTAGAAATGGGTTTGGAGGGTTAGATTTTAGGCCGTCAGTTATATTTGGTAGGTAAAATTAGGGTAGGATTCTTGCATGCAGAAGAGGACTACAAATGTGCATGTGGTAAATTGTTGGCCTATAAATTTCCTCTGTATATTTTTGTTGCTTTGAATCAATGGAGAAGTTAATGGCAGTTGTACAGTTTTAATATTTTGTGTTGTTTTTACTGAAATTACCAACGAGTTTGTAGTTTAATATTATTTTCGTGCAAAAATAAGAGGGGAGAGATCTGGCGTTTGAATTCTGTCTTTATCAATCCATAAATAAATAAATAAAAATATGCTGGGATTTTCTTTTAATAAGCTTAGATTGTCAATTCTTTTATATATATATATGGGGATTGTATGCAATATTCTCGATTAGTAGTTGTTTCAATTTCATCTAATTTTCACAATATTTTGATTTCTTTACGGAGGGGAGGGGTTCCTTTCTTTTTTCACTCTTTCCTTATCTCTACCTTTTTTTTTCTTTTTGTGTTGATATCTCGCTTTGTATCGAGTAAATTATAAACTACTTCCTCTTGTTTGGAGAAACAAATTAATTAGTGAATTTCTTCTTCAAAAACTAATAATTAAGTTCTTTATATTTTAATTTCATCAATAACTTAATTCTTTTTATTAGTTTTCTATTTGATTAGTAATTTTTACTCTTAAATTGTCATTTATTTGATTTTTAGTCGAAGAGATAAATTAAATGAATGAATAAGAAAAATAAGACATTAAAAAAAAAGTAATTTCAGAAAATAGTATTATTGATTATTATAATTTTTTATTTAAAAATAAATTCATAACGAAAAACTATCGTGTTTTTTAACTACAAAATTATGAAAAATATAAAAATATATATATAAAATTTTGATTAAAAATTATGAATTTATATGAAAATTTATCTTTTATTTTTAATTTATTATTTTAATTTAATAATTTATATTAAATTAAAATAAATATATTTAATTCATTCTCTTATATGACATGAAAAGCCGATTAGTTATAACTATTATTAAAAAAACCAAAAGAACTAGGGTGGCACTGTTCATTTACCGTAGCGGTGCCCTTTTTTTTACACGGCCGGCCTCTTTTTTTTTAAAAAAAAAAAGGGACTAGATTGCTGGATCTTTCCTTCATTGTAGCACATAGCAGTCCCTTTTTTTTTTTTTTTTTTTAAGGGCTAGGCTGCTGGAACTTCATTGTAGAATTTCTGTAATTTTTTTTTAGTTTCTATATGTTTTCAGATGGCAATTGTTTTCTTTTTGTATAAATAATTTATTTTTGTAGTTTTTTTTTATTATGAGATTAGGTATGAAAATATAAAAAAATCTTTTTTTTTGTTTTATATATAGTTTGACAGTAATAGAATATATATGATATTTTTTAAAATTTTATTTTGAACAAACACACACACACACACACATATCTGATTATATTATTTTTATTATTTAAAATTTATTTCTTCACTTGTTTGTTTCTTATTAAAATTGTCATCGAATTAATTTTTAAATTTTATTTGTTAATAAATTTAATTTTTTTATATATGGCTTTTGAAATAAAATTTTAGAACATGATTGTTTTATTTTTAAAAATATATTATTATAATTTATACGATTGATTATTTTTATGATTTTTTTAATGAACATGGCATTGTTGCATATATAAATTCGGATGTGAGAGAGAGAGAGAGAGAGAGAGAGAGAACACTAAAAATGTGTTTTAGATAATTTGACTTAATTTTTTTAAATTAATAATCATTTAAAAAAATAATTTTTTTAAAATAATAATTAGTTAAAAAAATTCATAGGCTTTATTTGGTTATATATATATATATAACCAAATAAAACCTATTAATTTTTTATATAATATTTTTTATTTAAATCTATTTACTTCGATATATTCTATGCGATTTAGGTTGAGTTTTTTTTTATATTTTATATTTATTTTATATACTCTAAATATGATATATATATATATATATATATATATATATATATATATATATATATAATTTTGTTAGAAATTAATTATATATGTACACATAATATCAATTATTTGTTATTTATTTTTTTATGTTCTAAAATCTGTATTTAAAAAAATAATTTAATTAATATTTTGAAAGAACCTTTTAATTATTCAAATACAGATTTTTATACTAATATTATGAATTATTTTATTAATAAATATGCATAAATCAAATAAATTCGTTAAATATATAGGTTCAATTTATATTAATCTTAATAAAGAAAATATCTATTTGCTTCATACCATATAAATCATTAATTCTACATATATAATGATTTCTTTATCACAATATAGCGCAGATATATAATTAATTATGACTAAAATAGTTTAGAATAAGGAAGTCGGGCTGCAATAACAATGCACTGAAAATTTTTATTGTGATAGCAGAGCATTTTTGTAAAATATGGATACCAGACAAGTTTTCAGTCGGAATAAAAATTTGAAATGTACGTGTGATGGAAATACATGACGACGATATTGGAAAAACTACGTCGAGGACTAGACGAGATAGAACAAAACATGTGGCTTTATTTTCCTATCACCGAACTAATCCACCGGTCTTTATACTTTTAGGAGTAAATTATAAACTAATCTGATTAGTCTTACTTATTTTAAAGATTAATCATCTAGTCTCTATATTTTTTTATTTTTCTTGTAAAATAATTATTTTTGTTTATTTTTTATTTATTTTGATTTTTATTTAAAAAAGAAAAAAAATTGAATGATGGGAAATATCATATTTTTTGAAATAAATAACATTAAACTAAACATAATTAAAATTCATTAAGGGACTAAATAATCCATTTTAAAATAAAACAGACTAATTAATTAATTTTTAAAAAATAAAGGGACTAATTTATCAGTGCTCTTACTTTTGTTTGGTCTGGTGGTTGGGCCTTATTGTTCCGGTGGGAAAAGGGCAAAAGTTCATAATTTGATATATTTCGTGTTTGATAGTTGATTTTTATTTAGTTATTACTAGCATATATCCCGTGCGTTGTCACATGATAAATTATATATCATTCTTATGCATCCATTAATATACAACTTTACAAGTTTTATTTGAAATCATTATTTGACAATATCATGCGAAAATAATTTTTAAAAAAACTAAAATATATATTTCATAATTTGTTATAGGGTTAGCTAATGAAAAATTTATAAAGTTGAGTAATATAATATTGCTAATTAGATATTTTTTATATAAACATGTACTTTATTAATAGCCGATAATTAAAATAATAATGTGGTAGTTTTTTAAATTTTCGATGATTAATTTTTACCATATATTATTCATCCGTAATTTATTAATGAGACAGAGAGACCACTCAAAACAAAAAGATAAAAAAAGCTCTATCAAATCGAGAACTTGACAGAGAAAATAGAGATAAAATTACACATGATAAAAATTAAATGATTAAAACAAAGTAAAGATTATAAAAGGATAAAAATAAATAAATAAAACTTTCGCTAAAAGCATACAAAAAATACTTATAAATAATAAGATTAAAAAAATTTCATTATGCATAAGGCAAGAGCAAAAGTTAACATTATAGAATTTTAATAACTAAAATAAAAAAATTAATAACATAAGAATCAAAACATAAAATTTTTCACTAAAAAAACAACTTAGGATAGTTAAAATATATTTAATTTTAATGTAAAATGATTAATAATTAAATATAATAAAATTTTAATGATCAAAATAAATGAAAGATCATAAAACAAAAACGAAAATATAACAAAAAGTTTTATTAAAAGTAAAAAATAGTTCCTTGTAGGAAAAAAAATTAATTATCAAAATAAAAAACAATTACAAAACAAAGACTAAATTTTTTTTTTACTAAATTTAATGACGAAAAGAAATAAAAAATAACAAAATTAGAATAGAAAGAAAATTTCGGTAAAAAAACAAAAAAACCCTCGGGATAGTAAATTTTATTTAGTTTTAGCATAATAAGGATAAAAATTAAATATGAGAAAATTTTCATAACTAAAATAAAAACATATTAAAAAACAAAAAAAAATTAAAATTTTACTAAAAGTTAAAAAAAAATTGATTATAAGGATTAAAATCACATAAAATAAAATTTTAATATTTTCGATAGGGATAAAAATAAAAAATCAGAAAAGTTGAATGACCAAAATTAAAAAAAAAGAATGAAGGGACCAAAATAAATAACAATTTCCTAAGCCGAAACGGAAGGAAAAAATAAAGTAAAAAAAAACAACTCTGGCACGCGCGTCAAGCTCGGCTAAGCGGCGTAGGCTCGCGAGTCAAGCCCGGGCTGCTACCAAAAAAAATAATAAATAAACAGGGGCTTCAACTTTCGGTGATTGAGGTCGTCGGAATCTTCGGCGAGAAGTCGAGGTTCAAGTTTTAGACCCCTATAAATTGAATTTCGGCATCATTTTTTTTTTCCAAACACCTCTAAATGATCGAATAAAGCCAATAAACATATCTAAAACCTTAAAAATCATTTTAATGCAATGAAAAACAAAAATAAATTACACAATCAAATTGGAACTTTGTTTCCTTTTTTGGTTTCGATCTACCTATTCTAATGGTTTAATGACTTGAAACAACCATGGACAAACTCATCTCTCAAAGATAAACAAATCTAGTGGATTTTCACCGATCAAAACGACCTAAATAAGCTTGACCGGTGATTTTCTCTCTCCTCCCATTTCTCTCTTCCCTCCTCCCTTCTTTCTCATCCAAGGACCAAAATGGATGAACAAATGAAGATATGAATAGAAAGATTAGTTGAAAAGATCAAAGACCAAAGTGTAAAAAACTAATGAATAATGAATTGTGAGCGTGTGAACAATGTTTGGAATAATAAACAGACGTTTTGT